TTATCTCTGAGTTGGGGCTTAAAAATCTTTGGGGCCTGGCCGGTGTGGCTCAGTGATTGAGCATCAACCCATGCGCCAAGAGATCATCGGTTCAATTCTTGGTCAGGGCACATGCCCAGGTTGTGGGCCCAATCCCCAGTGGGGGGCATGTGGGAGGCAGCCAATCGATGTTCTCTCTCATCAATGTTTCTCTCTCTCTCTCCTTCTCCCTTCCTCTCTCTCTAAAATCAATAAAGAAACAAAATTTTTTTTAAATCTGGGAAGCATTTCTAGTAAGTCTTAATCTAAGAGGAAGGGTCCTTCTGCTGCTAATTTATTCATTTATGAAGCAAATCCTTTTGACACTTAACCAGGCCTTGTGCTAAACCTTGGGAATACAATGATGACTAAGAATGACAAGATCCCTGTCCTCACCAAATCTACACATTCTAGTGGATAGTGATGGATGATAACATGTAAACAAATACATGACTATCAGTTTCCAGTTACTCTGTGTGCTATGCTGATGCCCACCAGCCAGAACCCACCAAGAGCACACAGTACAGCATTGGGTTTACTGGTACTGGAGATCTCATTTTGTGGGGAATTGTGGGGCCTTTCAATACAGGACACAAGCCTTATAGAGGGTTTGGATTTGTGTTAGAGGACTTGTAGACTATTCCGGAAGAGCGGTTTTGCTTTGGCTTGGATGGTTAAGACAGTGAACGAAATTCTAGGGTTGCAGTTTTGGTGCAGGAGGTGGCCACTTAGAGCAGTAGTAAAGAACAGCAGTCACTCACATTACGTGGGAAAGGAGGATGTTTGATCATTTCTGTGGTTTGTAGTGTTCTTGTGTTTGTTTCTGCCCAGACATGATTACAAAGTGGTCTTGTTTATTGTCTTTTTGCCATCCTCGTGAGAACGACCCTGTCTGATTTTAGTTCTATGACATTGTTTACATTAAACAGGAGAACACCATGGCCTAGCTGTTAGTGCCAAACCAGCTCCCAGAGGAGGGCAATCCAATGGCTACTTTTTTTTTTTAAATCCTCACCCCAGGAAACATTTTCATTTATTTTCAGAAAGAGTTGGAGGGAGAGAAAGAGAAAGAGAGACATCCATGTGAGAGAGACATTGATAGGTTACCTCCCACATGACCCCGACCAAGCCTGGGGACCAAACCGCAACCAAGGTACATGGCCTTGACCGGAATCAAACCCACAACTCTTTGGTCTGTGGGTTGACACCCTAACTGCTGAGCCAAACCGGCTAGGGCTGTGTTTTTTGTTTTGTTTTTTTCCAAATATGAAGGAAAATCAAGCCAGTTAAATGGAGCTATTGTGGGGATAAATGTTATTTAGGATAGGGTGTTAAGAAAAGGTTTCATTATATATACATACATGTGCAGAAATCTAAATCATGTGACAAAATAAACCATGAAAAGGCCTTAAAAACATGGTAACAAATAAAATAATGGTTGATGAGTTGTATCAACAAAGCTGAAAAAATACAGTGTCTTAAATAAGCCAGAAACGCATTTCTTTTTTTTTTTTTTCCTTTATTGATTTTAGAGAGAGAGAGGAAGGGAGAGGTAGAGAGAGATAGAAACATTGATGAGAGACAACATCAATTGGCTGTCTCCTGCTTGCCCCCCACTGGGGATTTGGCCCACAAACTGGGCATGTGCCCTGACCGAGAATCGTACTGGTGACCTCTTGGTGCATGGATCGATGCTCAACCACTGAGCCACACCGGCCAGGCAGAAATTTATTTCTTTTTCAAATAACAGTCTGGTTGGTTCAGGTTGGTGAGACAGCTTTGTGGCACAGGTAGCTGAAGGCCTTAAGCTCCATTGATCAGTGCCATCCTCAAGAGAATGGTATTCATCTGAGTGGTTAAAATAAATTCACATATAAGACAAAAAAGTCAGAAAAAAAACAAAACTCAGAGAATGCAATTTTTCTTTAAGTTATAAAAGAGCCACATGTTGTACACATTTTTTTCCCACTTGATATACAATTAGCTCCAACACTCATTCCTAGTGACCAGGGAGCTGGAAGGGTTGTCTCTAACTTGTGTGTCTTGTGTGCTCAAGAAAACAAAAGGATTTTCTATCAGAAAGCTTTGCAGAAAAGAGGTTTCAGCAGCTATGAAGGCTAAAAGCAGTAGAAATAAGCTGAATGTGTTACAGGAACAAGAAGCCTGGGAGAGACTGGGGGAGAATGAGTGAAATTAAATAGAGAGGCAGGCAAACGCCAGGCTATTTCAAGCCATCTAAGAATCTGGGTTTCATTCAAAATGCAGAGGAAAGACATTGTGAGATTTTGAGAAGGGATGTGTAGCATCATCTAATTTTTAAAAGGTATTCAGCTATATGAATGTAGATGGATAAAAATAATAAAAGGGAGCCCGGCCAGTGTGGCTCAGTGGTTGAGCATCATCCCAGGCACCAAGAGGTTGCCTATTTGATTCCCGATCAGGGCACATGTCCAGGTTGCGGGTTCCTTCCCCAGTCGGGGTCGTGCAAGAGGCAGCCGATGGATGGTTCTCTCTCACTCGATGTTTCTATCTCTCTCTCCCTCTCCCTTCCTCTCTCTCTCTCAAAAAAAAAAATAAATCATCTGATATAAGTGAGAAGAATGACTAGTGTTGTACAAGAAAGGAGAGAAAGTATAAAACAATCTTCAGTGAGAATGAGAGGCCAAATGTATTAGGCAAATGTAGTAGGAGTGCTGGACAGCACTAAGGACCCACTTGAGGGCTGTGATCACAAATTTAAAGTGTGACTTTTCAACAGCATTGAGTGCTTTTCTCCAGCAATGTTCAGCTTCTCAGGTGAGGCAAGAATTGGGGGGATTTTAGTTTAATAGCACTTTCACAGACCTACATAATATGGGACAGGAAGTTGAGGGTCACAAGCGAGTGATTTTTAATTTGGACCATTGAATCTAGGTCAAATAACTAACAAAGTGAGGGCATGGATAGAAAGTGAAGAGTGAACAAAGGTGGGGACAATGGGTTAAATGGGATCATAAATCTTGGAGTGAGAGTGTTAAATTATATGAACTAGAAACCAAAGATGATGTCGAGAGAGTAGAGTACTTAAAATTGAGGTTTTGAAGAGGCTGAATTTTTTGGTAGTGAAAATTTTGTGGTATGGCCATGGAAGTGATTGGACGAGATTAAAATGGATAAAATGTTTATTATTAGAAATGTGGATGTAAGGAAATGAGAAGGAAGATTGTTGAATAGAATTTGCACATGTATGTGGAAGTCTTCAAGGATAATAAATTTAGCAAGTAATAAATTTGGAGATCAGAATTTCTTTTCAACATAGAGGGTTAATATGTGAAATTGTGTTATGCTCTGTAGTTTTAGAAAAGAAAAGGAAAAATAGTATGGAAATGGGCAGAACTGTTAAATTTAGATTATTAGTATGTCCCAGGCAACATTTTAAGCATTTTATATATACCAGACTATTTTATATCCTCCTCCATTCCTCATTATTTTCCACATTTTGTAGTTGAATAAACAGGTTAAATAAGTTGTCCAAGGTTGCTAATGAATAGTGGAGCTGAATCTGGGCATTCTGACTTCAGAGTTCACATTCTAATCACTACAAAATAGTTATCTTCTTAGAATCAATGCTTTGGCACTTTAAAAAAAAGTTTTTTTCTTTATTGATTTTAGAGAGAGAGGAGGGGAGGTGGGAAGAGAGATAAAAACATCGATGAGAGAGAACATCGATTGGCTGCCTCCTGCACACCCCACACTGGGAATTTGGCCCACAACCTGGGCATGTGCCCTGACTGAGAATCAAACCAGCAACCTCTTTGTGCATGGACTGACACTCAACCACTGAGCCACACCGGCTAGGCATGCTTTGGCACTTTTTAATGTTGAAGCTGGTAGGATGGTAAAGATGGTGAAGTGGTGGTCATGAGAAGGCATGATTTTAACAGGAAAACCCAGAGATCGTGGGGTGCTCTTAAATACTACTGAGTGGGTTTTTGCCTAGAGAAGAAACAATCTCATCAAAGGACATAGAGATCTAAAAGCTTCTTAATTCCAGAAGAACTTACACCCTGATATTGTCTTTCAGAGATGACTGTGGACTAGGTTGCAGCCCTATGAGGAATGTCCTTCCTAGAGCTGTGTAAGAGTGAGAATCCAGGGTGCCAGCACTAATGGGGAATGTGAGACCGTGAGGGCTTCTGAGACCCACCATAAATATGGTCTCAAACAAAACATATAAGGAGTTATTTCCAGCATTCCTTGTGCCTCAAAAAGTCTCTCCCAATTGGAAAAAATGTTAGTCACACATACTTTGGATGAAATAAAAAATATAGCTATCATTAATAAATCAATAAATGGCAACTCTTCCAATGGAAGTAAATCTTCAGAGAAACATGTGATTCCAATGGCTTATTGTCTCTTTATTGGCTAGAAAGTTCATTTAACAGTAAAACAAATTCAGTTGAAAATCATTTATTAAGATAGGCGTAATTATCAATAGTTCATTGATCATTCCTTTAAGATGATCCTATTTAATCACTATTACCTCCCCGTATCTGAGAGAGTTAGGAGTTGAGTCTTAGAAAAAAGAGTGTATTTTTCTCAATTTAAAAAAAAAAAAAGCATTCAGTCAAATAATAAAAAGCAATACTATTACTTTTCGGGGGTTAATGACATGTAGTCTAGACTTTGCTGTAGGACCCTATTAAAATCTCTCACAATTTGGTTTAAAGTGTCAAACATTTTGCCTGTTTAAACAACCATTAAGTGCTTTGCAAAATTACAAACATTCTATATCTGACTTAATTAATATCTACTTCAATTATACACAACACATCATGCTCAAGATCTAGATTTATTTGAACACACTTAGTTCAATTTCTATTAATACAGGAAAATCACATCTAATAAACCACATTGTAGAAGAGACATTTCCATACAGATATAATTTGATATTTAATTAAAGGATGATGTCATGTTCACATGGAAATAAAATATTTATCCTGTCAGTAGTAGTAAGAACCTCTTTTCAGTATGTAGGGTCTTCTGGGTTTATTCTCATACAGTTGACGTTTCAGAATGTAAGGAATTTTTCTCTTTATAACTTCTTCCTTTTCAGTTTTTTCATTTCCGTTATCAAGAATATCTTCCTGAATTAACTGTAAGATAGACAGAATATGAATGAAATTTACATGTATGAAGTCTTCCATTTCAGGGTATTTTTCTACATCTTATCTCATCTGCTGTTCAGACAGTAAGACATATGTGAATAAGATATACAAGGTTCAAAGCAGTGTGTTAAGGTAAGAATTGTGTTCATCTTTGTGATTGATTTCTAAATTTGAGGGTGCTACATTAACACTAAACGTAGAAGACTATGTTTTTAATTATGATGCATATGCATTGAATTATATCACAAGTAGTACTTCATTTCAACCCACAGCTATTCAGTTTTGGAGGATGAAAAACAAAAAACAAAACTGTCAGACAAGCCCCTTCCTTAATCTTTTGCTTCTCCCTGTATACAGTCTGTAATTACTTGTACTATGCTCTGAATGATATTATCATATTATTATAAATCACTCAGTAGCATTTCAAATAGCAAAGGTTCTAATCTTATGTGCACCTGATTTGTCTGTATAATACTTTATTGAGTTTTATTCCTCCTAGATATATAAAATATAATTGACATTTTCCTATGTTAAAGTGAGTATTTTTCAAGTGTTAATGACTTAAGCAATATTTTCAAGACAAAACCATTTAGCTGGGATTGGAATTAAGGGATAAATTAGTTCAACAAGTGAAATGAAAACTAACTGTATGGTTATTCATTTGGAAAACATATTTTGTGTGTAAGTTAGAATAAACACTGGAAATTCTGTTTTTCATTTCCTCTTTTCCACAGGGTATCTGTAATTGTAAGTTATAGAGATTTTTATATTAATAGGGAAGGCACCCCTAGTATTGGTGTATCCCCATAATATAAAACATTAAGCAAATAATGCTTAGAAAGTTCTCTGAAAGAAATGTTTCCCTTGTTGGGAACATTTTTAAATTTTATTTTCTTTAAAGCATGTTTCACTCTTCCAAAACAAACAGATATTCCCAAACCAAAGATGGTGAGTTACCAGTGTAGTAAATTACTTAGGCATTGCTACCACAACCACCACCAAAAACTGCCTGAATATGCCATTCATTTAAGCATTTGGATCAAGTCTACTTAAAAATATATCCCCCTTTTAAGATGGAAGGAAAAATATTTTGCTCAACTCCAAATATTTGAAGGACACTTTGAAGATCTGAAAGAATGCTAACTTCAATGCATTGTTTATTCTTCTTTAATATTTATGTCTTCCTATTATGACAATGATCAGAATTTAAAAATTGGTACAATTGAAAGATAACTATAATTATTTTTATATATTTTTTTTGTTTTACCTCCCAGTGTTGAAAAGCCCTGCTGTGACAGATATTTCGGATCTGGTACATTGTCATCATTGCTTCCAAGCTAAAGTCATCTAAGGCAGTGGGAAATTTCCTTCTTGTAGTAAGCTCCTCTTCATGAAACTCTCCTGTGCCTTCAGCTTGGCCATTCAGGTTATTTACAAGGCTGCAAACATTCAGCAGAGTCATTTTCCAAGAGGGAACACTTGCTTTACTGACCTGAAATATTGAAAAATATATATTGCATTTAAAACTTATATGAATAAGAAATACATTTATTTTATGCTAAGTCATTACATTTTAGGGTCTAATTGTTACTCTAATAAACACATTGTCATTAATTTGGTAACTTCATATCACAAAGGTGACTAGTGTCAATACCTCATATTCTCTATTTATAAAAAGGCCATAAATTTATACACAAACATACACACATACATAAGCCAAGGAAGAAAGGAAAAAGAAGTGACAGTAAGTAGAAATATATAGATATATATGTATATCATATTTCAGATGAAAACATTAAATATACTGTTCTCTCTCTCTCTTTTTTTTTTTTTTTTTGGTACAAGCTCCTAGTGAGAACCGAACCCGGGACTCTCTGGTCCACAGACCGATTCTCAACCGCTGAGCCTAACTGACCAGAGCTGTTCGCTCTCAATTACATTTCCATTTAGTGTCTAATGGAGCAGGGTCTAAGGTGTTACTAACAGATTTGAACAATTAAAGTAGTGAGACACGGAGATGTCATAGGCAGCTTACCAATTTATGTACAAATTATAATATTCTCCAGCTCTTGTCTTAACCACTATTACCATAATCAACAACTTTCCCCTGTGCCAGCAATAATCAATGAGAAAAGATAAGGATATAAGAAAAATGTGACATAATTACTAAAAATTAACAAACAGTTCAAAGGGCATAGATGGAAGAAAGCACAAACTTTTCCTAAAGGATGTAAAAAAAAAAGGAAATGACTGCTAATCCATGATGGGAAGACTCAATAACAATAGTTTCAGGTGTCAATTCTTTCTGAATTATTCTCCAAATGTAATCCAACTGCCAATCAATCAAAGTTCCAATTTGGAAAATATGGGGAGTCTGGAAGTTAAAAGAGACGATTTGTCAGAATAATTATGAAGTTAATTTAGAAGTATGAATGTGTGAGCTAACCAAGAAGATTTAGAAGAATAAAAAGATAATGAGGAGGAACTTACTTGACCAGATATTAAAATGTCTTTCAAAGCTTCAGGAATTAAGGAAGTGCATTAATAGAGCGTGAATAAACTTAAAATTCAACAGAGTATAATGTTTTAAACATAAAACTCAACAGAATATAAACTCAAGATAATGTTCAATAATAGATCGAAGTATACATCAGGGTGTAGCATATAGCAACATTTTCACTTGAAATCTTGGGGACAGTTGGCTATAAGGAAATCCGGATTTAGGCCTCGTTATAATTTTTCTTGACATATTATAGTCTAACAATACCCAGATGGGTTAAATACAAATAAAACAATGTTGAAATATATATAATTTTTATAAGCCTAGAAAGATATTATAACTATCCAAACTGGAATCCATAAACAAGAAAATTATTAAATACATAAACGTGTGAATTCTCTCTCTGGAAAATTAACATTCTGAACTAAAATCAAAAGCAAGCTGTAGTGTAAAAGCTGACACAATGTGTTAATGTTCTCAACAAAGGTGGCACTCTTAAAAAAGAAAATGGTGAATACCCCAACTAAAAAATAAAATTAAACCTTGGAAAAGTAATGTAAGCAAACCAGTCACAGGATCACATATGAAAAAAATATGTGGAATGATGTTCAGCTTGGCTACCATTAGATCAGGCTTTAAAAGTACAAGTACACTGAATGTTGTACTTATTGTGAACCTGGGGATAGAGACACTTTCTTCCCTAATTTTTTTTTTTTTTTTTTGGTCTGTGTGTAGATTGGTATAACTTCTTAAAGAATGTTTTGGCAATGTGTTTCAAAATGATAAATGTGCATACCCTTTGATTAAGATTTTTATCCTAAAGGCAGGCAAATCTGTGAGTACAAAGACATTCACTACAATGTTTTCAGTGGCTTGGAAATTCTTTCAGCTATATCCCCTGAAGATGATTATCCAGCCATTGCTTGAATTTTTCTGCTATGAAAACTTAGAGGCAACAATTCCACTGTGTGGCAGCAACACCTTATATCCTGACAATGAATGGGATACTGTAATTTTAGAGCTTTTTTAGCGATCATCTAACTGAGCATTTTCTATAGTGTATTTCTTAGAACACTGGTCCTGCACTCACTGTTTTTGAAAAGGAATTCCATTGTCAAATACATTGGAAAACTTCAATGTAAAGGGAAGTAAAAGGCTTCTTGAATTTAGGTATCCTCGGCGCTTTTTACTTGCAAGTACTTTAACTTTTCAATAGTGCCCATATAGTATCCAATGCTCTTCAAACTAATTTGGACACAGAATGCTCTATTCATAAAGTGTCTGTCAGGACTAGTGTTGTCAATTTTTATTTTGGGGTGAGAAAACAGTTCATTGTCTTCTCTTCTGCCAGTTAAAGTAGTCACTACATCACTCAACACTAGTGTTTAATGTCACTTTAACTAACTCTCATCATACCTAGGAAGCACAGCAGTGAAAGTACTCTTGACAAAAGGATGTCTACGTAAACGTGTATTTGAGAACATTCTGTATAAGGGTAAACTATTTCATTCAGAAAAAGGACAAAGACTCTCTCCTGACTAATACTGAGTCAAGATCCTCTGAGCCCTCTTCTTGATTAGGTCCCAATCTTGGGTCCTGTCCTTGGTCTGCTTTAGTCCAGTTTTAGCACAAATTCTGCTGAGTCAATATAATGAAAATGCCTCACCTTTGGTGTCTGATCACCCTCTATATATCTGATATTTTATCAGATTCTCACTCTCAATATCAAAATCCCATTGTATCGCCTTGAAAAAAATCCTCCTCGCCTTAATGTTTCCTCTTAGTAATTTTCCATCCACTGACTCCCAGCTGCTCCTTGCTTGTAAATCCATACTTGTCCTTATCAGTTTCAGAGTTGAGTCTGATCTCTGCAAAACCCCATTGTAGTAGGTCCTTTCAAATAAAGTCTTCCTTACTATTGTTAACAAATATTATGAATGATTTTCTTTAACAATAAACATTCTTACTTATTATTTTACACTAATGTTTATTATATACCTAAGCTTATAGGTAAGAAATTTAGAATATTTTCTTCTTGTTTTTGACATAAGGAAAACTGAAATATTTGTGGTTCTTTCTTACCATTATTTGACTTACCTTTATAATACTAAATAAGATCCTGGTCAAATTTCTGTTTTCTTAATTAAATGGAACCTAATCTATATGACTAATACTACTTGTAATATACTGAACTCAACTGAGTTCAACAAATGGTGAATTCAAGCATTTCACCTAATTGAAAATAATTAAAGTCATCTGTGGAGGAGCCCTAAAGTTTCTACAGTTGAATGCAAAAGTGAAGGTTGGTAATGAATCCTAGGTTCCATTGTTAGTTTATAAATATTTATTAAGTTCTTACTGTAGACAAGTCATTGATTTTGATCATAGAAAATTACAACATTCCAGCAGTTTTTTGAAAGCCAGAAAAAAACGTACTGTACCGAGTTCTCTTTCTCAATAAAAATATACCAAAGCACTAGCAAACATAATTCTATGTATACAGCAAAGGATTTTTGTAATTAAAACATGCTCATCCAATTAGAGAAGAGAAACCTGAGATGGCGAAACCTGAGCTGGAACATTGCTTCTGAAATTGGACCGGAGTTTTGAGCACTTACTTTCTTACCGTAACATCTGTTGGGTCTTCGGCCTTGGTACCCAGTGTTATAACAATGAGCAGCAGGTGAATGCCTCACCTCAAAATTTGATTTTCTTTGACAAAAATCTTTTGGTTGGGAACCCTGTCCTCTAAGTCTACATTTAGATATACACTGGGTGAATCAATGTAGTGTGGTAGCATGGTAACCAGGTATATTCTAATTGAGTTTTTTTCCTTAGGTACAGATTGGGATCTAGAAACCTTGTTTTCAAGACCCCGGGAGATGAGTAATAGAGTCTAGTATACAAAGTTTTACTTGATTCACTAAAGAAAAAAAAAATGAGCAGGTACAAATCATACTTCTGTTATAGGAAGAATTTTAATCCAGGAGTGGATTTAATGTAAACATTTAGGAGGAGATCATAAACTCCAACCACAGCATAAAAGAAAGAAAGAAGAAAGAAAGAAGAAAGAAAGAAAGAAAGAAAGAAAGAAAGAAAGAAAGAAAGAAAGAAAGAAAGAAAGAAAGAAAGAAAGAAAAAAGAAACTACCTACTTGCTGAATAGCAAATAGTTCATAAGTCATGGTTGCAGGATTAAATCTCAAGGCTTCTGTTTGTCAACCTATTTCTCTTAATAGTCTACCACATGTCTTTCATGGATTGTCATGAACTTTCATTTTTTACTTTTCCCAATATAATGAAAAAGGCAAAATGTCACTTAATTCTCATTTACGTATTTAACTGGAGGCCAACATCCCATTCATCATACACAATTCGATGGAAATGGAAACTGGATTCTTTCAAATATATGTACATGTCCACATAAATAATACGTGACTATTTAATTAAAGTTACAATATACTGATTGATAGTCACTATAATTTCTTTCCCTGTCACCTCAACACCCTTAACTCCTTTGAACTCAAGGAAAAGTTTCCCGAAAAAGGAAATGCCTCCCAATGAACTTTTCAGCCTTTATGGGAAGTTATTACCATAGGAAAAGGACACCATGTTTATAATGAGAGTTCCTATGTTTTTCAATCCTTGGTTTAAAAAAAAAAAAAACTTACCTTTGATGTGTGCACATTGGTCAATAAATCTGCTTCTAATGCTTTCATTTCCTCTTCAGAATCTGAGTAAAATCAAAACCACATGTTTACTATATAATCACATATCATATAATTATATTGTAAGCTGTAGATTTTAGATTTACCTAAAAAAAAAAAAAAAAAAAAAAGGTTTTAGAGGCATGTTGTCTTTCCTATGCATTTATTCTATTTTAAGTAGTATTCAGAAAAAAATATAGTTTTATTTTAAACTATGAGGCAGCCAGAATAATAAAAGCACTTCTAAGAAAATAAGCACATGAGTCTATGGCAAAAGGGCTATTGATGATTTGGAGTTATTTGATCTCTAAATCCAAAAATTAAAAAACTGGTCATGTCATATAATAGAAATGTCATCATATATGCTGGTTAATTTTCACCTGCAATAGTTTACATATGTAGAAGATATGCACATTGATATTTTAAAAAACAGCATAATGGAAAGCTGTGTACAGAGACTTTTTGAGACAAAACAAACAACAATAACAACAACAACAAAAAAAAAACAACAAAGAGAATTGCTTACTGATAATTTTAAAATAAAAAAGACATTCAAAATTACTCAACTTGAGATGCTATTTTACAAAACACACTTTGAAAGATTTGTTTTTCTACTTAAAATAATTGTTGAAGTATGTGTACTTAGAAATTTTATCAGTCCATTAAGAAAATTGTTTAAACAAAAGTGATGTTCATTAATACATGTACAATAACCTTAAAATGCATTGTGATTTTTTAAACAATATCATTTCCAGTTTCCACTAATAAATATTCTACAGAAAAAAAAGAAGTTAGAAAATACTACAAAGTAATTAACAAAAAGTTAAACAACACTACAATAAGATGACAATTCAAACTAACTTAACTGTATGTCATAAAACAGAGTTTAAAAACTGTCTTCTTTGACTATTCATTCATTTAAAAAAAGCATGACACTTGGAGAAAACACTTGTTAAATTGTATGTTGGACTAAATAATACCAGAGATCATTTTTAGGGGCCCAATCTGTTTCTCAAAAGAAATGACAAATTCCTTTAAGCATTTTTGAAAAATGTATACCAAACTCCCCATAAAATTTGACTTATCACAACAAGAACTTTTAAAATTTAATGAGCAAGTTATTTAAAAAATAACTGAGTTTTACTCACATGCTGTTAGTATACTTCTAACCTCATATAATTATTAGATAAAAACATAGTTTTAGAAAATATGATATTTACCTCATAAAAATATTTGCAACGTAGAAGTCCAAGGTTTTTTAAAGAGCAAGAGAATTAAAATATTTGATAATTAACCTTTATATCTTTATACAGTCTGATAGATTTAATTTAATAATTTAAATAAAATTATAGGAGGATTTTATATTAGACATTTCAAAGTTATATTTATATGATAAAAGTATAAAACAGGTTAAATATTTTTTCCTGCATGTAGTCTCTGTTTTTCTTTTCATTTTGATGTGATCATTTAATTATTTTAAAAATTAATTAAAGCATATTGCAGTCATTATATTTCTTGTTACTTTTCTAAATTTAAATCTCACTTTTAAGATGAATTATTGACAGATATTTAGAAATACATGGCTTCTTCATTGTTACATACAAAACACTCTAGGTAAATAATTTTCATTAATACAATAATGCCAACTTTCCAAATATATTTTGTTATCAACTCAAATGGTATGCAAAATAAAAAGAATTAATAAGATGCTTATTATTTGTCACATAAAAATACTATATAAAATGTGTTCTCAAAAGGACTTGAAATATTTTTGTAGTTTTCTAGAAATAATATTTTAAAATAATGCTTCATTTATTTTTTCATTAACCATCAGTTTTCAAATGGTTACCTTAGCACACACACACACACACACACAGTTAAGAAACATAATTGAAGGGAGGGAGAAGCCACAGCATCCTAAGGGAATGAGAATGAGACAAAGCGTTCCGAATGCCATGGGTTTTAATTAAGGGTTCGCACTTTGGCAGGCACCGTATCTATACTTCTCATTAGACAGTGACCAGCCTAGTTTAAGTTTTAGGTGTTTTTTGTTGTCTCTAGTAATTACGTTCTAAAGAAGGACCTGCAGTGTTTCATTAAAAATCCCTTTTATTGCCTTGCAGATTTAAAAACAGAAATCTTTCAGTTCTTGTAATCATAAAGACAGAGAAAGAACATATTCAGCTTCTATCACTAAAATTGCAAATCCAGAATAAGGGAGAAACTGTCCTTCCTGGAGACATTCATGTAAGTACCAACACACTACACAAAAGGAAAAAGAAATCACTTCAGGGAGTCATGAAATGCAGCTAGCTTACCTGAGCACAGACCCCAGGAGGTGAAAGTCAGGAGTATCATGCACATCAGCTGGATTTTCATTCCTGCCATCATCTCCTTGAGATTCCTAGGGAGTCAAGTTCGTAAACGTCAGAGTCAGGCTGAAAGAGGGCTCTCTCTAGTGCTTCCTCTTGCCTTCAGCTGATTTTGAAAGTGACTGAAGTATGAGAGTTGCTTTGGCCATTCCCTATATATATGTGTGTGTATATATATGTATATATGCAGGAAGATGATGTCATGGGAGTACACAGGGATTATCTTTTCAGGATGTGCCCTCCCCTCATCTCCATTCCTCCTCCACTTCCTCCTCCTTCCTTCCTTGCCACCCCCCTCCCGAAAGTGACATCTTCCCTAATTGCTGCTGCTACTTCAGATTTCTGACACACAGGAGTCATTTCAGAGCAATTCCATAGAGAACATACTTTCAGTACCATTGTTTCCCCATTTCCTCTCAGTCCTTGACTCCAAGGAGTCATCATTTTGATTTCGTGAGGCAAGAGCTCTGTCGTTTCCAGTATAAAGAACTTCTCCAGGATGAATGCATGACATTGGTGATTCTTTAGGTTTGAAAGTTCTTAAAGAGTTAGGGTTCTTTTCTTAATGTTTTGTGGTCTCAGGACTAATATAGGTCTTAGATAATAATACATGCTATAAGAAGAAAGGAAGTAAAAGATCAGCAGAGAATCAGTTATACTATTGGGGCTAAGTGAAAAAATTTAGATAAAGGAAAAAAATCCATTAAAAACTACGAGTAACCCTAAGGAATAGGATATTATTTCATAACAAGCTGAAAAGTTTTTCTAATAAGTAACCGGGAGAATGACTTAATTATATATGCTGACTTTTAATTAATTGTCTTAGTAAAACAGTTTCATGGTTTTAAAATCCAGCTATAAATGATATTTTAAAAGGTGAGAAAATGTATTATTGTATCACTGACTGCTGTTTTCCAATAGTTTCCTCCTTTTCTGTCATCCTTGATGCTATACCCTATTCCTTGTAAAATCTACTTCTCACTGATTTTCACCATTGAATTCCATTTCTTTCCCTGTTATAGTCATACAAAAGGGACTGCACTTCAGGAAATGACACAAACCTAAATAACCACCGTTCACCAAAGTCATATTTCTAATAGAGTGTCTTCGCATATTGTATTGAGTTACAATGATACTCATTTCCTCTCTAAGTTCTCAGAAGAAAATTGCTCAAAATGTCTTTTGGAGTAAAGCAATCCTCTTGTATCTGCTGTCAGGAATGCGAATGTTTGAAGGTACAAAAGTGAATTTGTTCACTTTTTAAATATATCAATCATGTAGTAACAAGGAAGAAAAAAATCTGAATTGATTTATACAGAAAATTTATTTATATGGTATATGTCTATGGGGTTACAGTCTCCATTTTGCCTTAAACTTAAGGAAAGGAGTGAATTTGAAACATTTAATAATGATTTAAATTAGGAAGGAGTCATTTATATAATTTACTGTTTAGGATTTCACAATAGCTGATGCTTTTATTACTTTTAGTTTTCTTTACAAACGTGTATACAACACAGTATTGAACATAACTCACTTGAGCAAAGTTTTATACAAAGGCTAATTAATTGGCAAAGAAATGTGAAATATGCATGCCAGAAGTTTTATCTCTTGCCACCAGGGGGCGAAATAGAAGTTTTAAAGGTTATTTTCATTTAACTGATCACAGAATTATGAGGATTTAGAGCATCTTTGTGCTAGATACATTTTAAAGCCAGTTTTAAAGAAATTATATATTTTTTCATGATATGTAAATTTGTTGTTTTGTCTTCTTTTGAATTGCAAGTACAATGAGTAATCTTTTAAATGTGCTGTGTGCTAATGTCCTAATAGTAAAGAGGAAGTGTGATTCTTTTCTTCCTCAAGTCGTTTCTTTAGTACATGAATCTCAGGAAAATGCTAACAAAATGTATTCTTAATTAATTAGGAAAAAAAGGAGAGAATGAATAAGGAAAATAGTTGTGTTTTAAGTATATCACTTGAATTTTGCTGTCAATGTGAGAATTGTTTTAAATATAGGATATATCTGAAAAAATTGGGGAGAGATGTCAAATGATTCAAAATCAAGTAAATGCTATGCACTAATTTTCTTTTTGAGAAAAAAAAAGCATGTGTAACTTTTGTAGTAAAATTATGGCATACCATATATATCTTATTTGTCCTCTAATTGGTTTTTTAAAATATCTGTTATTCCTATTTTTTTTTTTTAGCCCCAATGCCTTCAAGCTATAGAAAAAAAATAAACAATTTGTTTTCAAAAGGTAGTAATGTGTGGATATTTGCCTTTAAAAATTATTCTAGGAAGCACCCAAATGATGTCACTAATGCAGGATTTTAGGCACCTTTATATGGAGATGGGTAAACTATTTTTATTTTAAAGGCTCCCTGCCTAAAATCATTCTAACTTTTAATTAGCTCTTTAAATAACTAATAAAAGTTTGAACATTACCCTTCGATAGTCTTCGTGTGTTGGCCTTGCAGTCTGAGGTCACCATGGAGTGGCTATTGCAGGCTTTATCTGTTTAGATGAATAAATTTATCTCACTACTTATAAATTGCAGCGTCTCTATTATATGTATATATCTGAGCTTCTACTTAATTAATCATTTATTAGCTAATGATGTAAGATAATCAACAAAGATGCCTAACATATTGACAATTGGAAAGAAAGGTCTTTAGTTTGGAGCTGGGAAAACTCAACAATCACACAATGAATAGTGGTTCTTCGGTTCCAGGTAATTTCTTCCTGTAACTTTGGAGTCTTGATCATCCCATTAACAGATTCCCCGTCTCTCCAACCTCTTTATACCTTAACACCCAAGACTTAACCTGTGGTATTTCTACCATCTGTCTTTCCTCCTGCTTCCCTTTGATTTTCCTGTCTCTTGCTTCCTGACCTCTCTCGTTTGTATTTTATGGCCTAATTCATGTAGACCAAGTTTGAACCCCGAAAGTAGTCTCATCTACTTCTACTGTTCCCAGTGTCTGCTAAATGCTCACGCATTTGTGGTAAAATGTGAAGGGGAGCAGAAACTGTCACCCCAAAGTATGCCTCTTAAGCATATTAATTATATTGAGCTGGTTATTTCTAAGAAACAGCAAACACAGAAAAATGTCTAAAACCAAATGGGAGCTCCCTTTTATAAGGAATGTTTACATCAGTTAAGCATTTCTAGGTGCATAGGGTGTCTCCTGCTCTGTACCTAGCAAAGGATGACTAGACCTCTAGAAAGTTTATCAGTGGAGAAGGAAAATCTGCACAATAACCCTAATTTTGTTTATTGTGCTTTTCCTGGTAACATCCCATAACTGGCTTTCTCCACCCCTCAACATCTCTTGTTGTTAGCTGGAGATGATATTTAAGGTAGTGGACTGGGCCATTTGGGGGAGTTTCTAGTTTTCCTGGGTATCTCCCATGTATGCAGGAGATACACATATTATTAAACTTTCTATTTGTTTTTCTCCTGTTAATCTGTCTTTTTATTACAGAGGGGTCTCAACCAAGAACCTAGAAAGGTAGAGGGAAAATTATTTTCCTCTTTTACAACTGTAAATTCTATAAGGGAAGGACTTTCACTCATTGGTATACAACCTCTTCTTCCAAGGCTTATGATATGTAAGTGTCCAAGATGTATTTACCAAATGGAATCAAAATACTGATTGTTTTAAATTTCTAACATGTTTTTATGTTTCCCTTTGTAACATTTTTTTCAGCCACATCTCTAATTTCAGTGATTTAAAACTCCTTCTGGATCATTGATCTTAATATTTGATGTGAGCCTTTAACTAAGTCAGTTTACTCTAGGCATTCTTTTCCTCCCCGACTGGGAAAGTCAACTGTAAAAAGTTACTTAAGAACATCGCCCTGGGATTATGTGCATTTACCAGCTGAGTGCTTAGGATAAATTGTGGGTTCACACTATTCCTCTAAATGAGTCTGGATTTGGAACCGTAACCCTGATTCATCTGAACAAACAATGATCTTAATCTTTTTGTAAACTCAATTGATTTTTCTATTCAATTAAAGTCCATTTTCTAGACATGAAGGTAGTTACATGTGTACACACATCCACTCTCTCATACACTGTCTTCCACATGAAATGCTTATAACCCAGACTTTGGAGACAGATAAATGTAAACCAAAGGTCCAATTTCCCAATCTATATGTAACCACATTTTGCCCATAATCTCTATAAATATCCGGCTCAATTCCCTTTGGCTCTCTCTGTCTCTGCTTTTGCATCTTTATAGACAATTAACTTAGAAAATTGATGATAGGTTTCTGTAGTTAAAACATTTTTCCCCTTAAACTCCCATTATAGCACAAGATTTGCCTGGGATTCACATGGTAACAAGTTGCCATATTTAAGGAATATGTTTGATGTACTCACTGCTGATCTAATTTATAATATGTTTCTCATATCTAAAATAAAAAATTGTGATGTCCACAAAACTACCACCCACTACATGTGATGCTTTTGTAATTGTCCTTATAAGCCTCATATTTGTATAATAAAAAATAAAAACAACACAGAAAAAAAGTTCCTAGCACTTGTCTCTTCTTTTCTCAGTTTTGCAAATTAAAGTGTAATTATATACAGTAAAAAATGAGATAAATTTTTATTGAAAGAAAAGTTCTCACCCTTATTTATGTTATAAAATCTAAGAAAATTTCTCTAGCACCTGTAATACCAGATCTAAGAGATGCACTTGAGCTACCAGGAGCAGATTCAGTAAAACACTTTCTTTATGTTAAGAAGATATTAGATGTTAGATTTAGAACACAATAGTTTATACTATTAGCACTTTGTGGTTTTGTTATTATTACTATTTATTTTTAATCCTCACCAGAAGACATTTTTCCATTTCTTGTTCAGATAGAGTGGGAGGGAGAGAGAGAAACATCAACGTGAAAGAGACACATCGAGCGGCTGCCACCTGCACAACCCAACCAGGGCCAGGGACAAACTGCAACTGAGGTACGTGCCCTTAGCAGGAACGGAACCCAGGTCTCTCTGGAATGCAGGCCGACACTCTAACCGCTGAGCCAAACTGGCCAGGGCTTATTACTATTTTTTAATTTAGATACTTTCCCTAGTGATCTTGATAAGTCCATGGCTTTGAATTTTATCTA